TTATATGACGCGGAATTTATTGGCTTCATACAAGACACGGGCAAGTAACGTCTTTCAGATATACTGCGCAGCATCGACGTCTTATCTGTCATTCCGTGACATAAATCGTACGCGAGGAACGATTCGCATGGAATTCTTGGATGAGGTGGCATAAAATCTAGGCAACATTTGTGTATCTATTGGTAGGATGGCTCATTAGTCTCAGGCGGACTGCTCGGAGATATTTGTACAAACAGGACTATAACTTTGATCGATGGCCAGAGCCGCAATAAGTGGCTATTGCCTTGGCAACAAATGTTCAGTTAGGAAAGAATTATCACAATGGATGTCTCTTCGTGAAATGTGTATCGAGTGCCAAGCATTTGACACGAATATGGGCCCTGGTGATTAATAGATATCATTGACACTTCCTAGCCTATTGAACCAGTATTGCATATGTGGTTTAATTTGATGCAGAAGCATTTAATGAAACATGATTGTTTTAACTACTGTAGTAAAATTGTCATGGGTACCGTCATGTAAACGTCGCAGAAGTGGAACACAGCCGGCGTCCGGTCGGGCCGGTACAGCAGATGCCGCGCCGACCTTGCGCGCACGCATACTCACATAGCCATATATCACACGATAGGAGGCTCTATAGGAATGTAATGTAGGCTATATTGTACCTGTTTTGACACTAGAACTGGTGAAGAAACACACACAATGTCTAAACACAAGTATACCTATTTTCTTAAAGTTTTCTTGTTTTAATTACAAAACCAACTACCCAGTTTTTGCTCCCATAAAATGAAGAAACTAATCTACATCAAATAAACATTGTACACTACTTCAATGGCCCGAAAGCTATAAAGTGTAAACAAAAAACCTCGAATCGATATCCTTTAATCAATATTTTGACGATAAAAACACAAAAACGACGTATCATTTACTACTTTCTCGTTTGTAAATGTCATAATAAACTCCATAGCGGCGTAATAACAAGGCGTTGCACGGGTTAAGGTCACAATATCCCGTAAAATATTAACTATAATTGGAAAAAATGAATTCTAAAAGTAAATGTCAGGCCGCAAGAGTAATCTTCGGCGGTGGAAATGCGTGCGGTTTTACGATTGTAAAAAAATAATTATTGTGAACAAAACTAGTACCTGTACCTATGGGGTTATTTTGAAAACAAGTGCATCGGTCTGTGTTGTTAAAAAGTTATTGAGGATCCGTTGTAGAAGAATGGGATATCTTAAAAGTTCTAGATCTTTTCGTATCAAAAACATCTCGACCAAAAGTATCCAATGTTTAAGTAACACCTAAGTGTTATGTATGCATGAGATAGTGTATGACCAGGGCTTTCATCAGGTGACTAACATGCACTAATATTTTAGTAAACACGCGTCGGTGGCTCAGCTTACCGTCCAATTTCCACAAAAACGTGACGTCACAGTCTGTGAATAACTTGGATTTTCGGCTGGTTCATATTATGACTCATTCATACAATACAGCTGTATTATTTTGATAAAGATACTATAGTTTTTATTGGGTTCCAAAGTCTACGTTATCTCGGTAGTGGATCACGAATTGAGTGGTGCCGAACACAATGATAATGGTTTATTTAACTTTACAAGATCATTTTGTTAACACTGTGTGTCCATGTGGAGTGATATTCACGTGATTGTGTTCATATTTATGTTAATAATCAAGTCTAAGAGTTCCCACTGTCGATTGAGACCTCTCAGAAGGTTAGAAGTCAAGTAGGTCCAGTGCAATCAATTAGGCCCAACGCAGCGACCTACATGATTGATTGAACAATGCGAAAGAAATATGCAAGGATTCGAACCTAAGTGAGATAGGCGTGTTATTAGATTGGTTCTAGAACATTCCGGTTGCAGCAAGTTTCAATACGAACAGTCCAAGAAATTGTTAAAGAATATGTAATGATATTAGGTACTACAATATCTGCGGTGGCCAAATATTTGTATAGTGAGTCACAATTCCATGAACACCGAAATAGTAGCGCCATATTACTTTTTGAATCACTTCCTTCTAATGAGCTACCAACGGATATTTTAAAACAGTATTAATCAGGAGTTAATGTATTTATCATTGCCCACAACGACCGCCCATTTGAGGCTAATCATCCATAATTATTATCACGCAACGAAACAATCTATGAAACAAAACGACTGAGTATTTTATACGTTTAGAAAAAAATCTATCAGCTGGTAATGACTACGAGGCGTATAAATAAAAACTGGAGTACTATGATGACTTTTTAATTCATTTTGGGATGAAACGACAGGACTGTGTAATGACGAGAAGGTTGAAAAAACGCGGATGACGATGCTGTTATAGAAACCGAAGGGCCAATGTTGTGGGTAGATGAAAAAAATGTGGTGAGAATACTGATGTGGCTACTACACGGGGCAGATGACGGATTCAAACTGATTTGCCTCAATCGTGAGTCAAAGGAAGAGCCGAATACGAAATCAATTTCAAATACATGAAAGCAACTAGATACATATTTATTACTTTCTAAGAATAGAGCCACTTAAGCTAAACTGTCCAATTTGAAAAATGTCTTCTTTGAAGTTAAATATGAATGGCGTTAAAATTATGATTTTTTGTTTTGCAACCCCGAAACCTTCAAAGGCAACTTTTTATATGAGAACAAATATTTCAATGCCGTCAAACTGACACGAGCGCCCTCTCACCTCAACCCAAAATAAATCCCCATAAAGTTATCAACAAAAATCGTAAAAAAATCCGAAAAGTAGATACAAAACGGTACACAAATATACATATTTATGAATTGACATCCTCTGGCTATGTTGTTGGGTTTCATTCACCAAATGTCGCTATCTATTTACATTGTTATCGCCAGTTATCGAGGGTCGCCCTTCGAGGAAGACAGGGTTATCGATACAAATGCCGGCTCTTGTGATAAACCAATCATGAGAAGGGATTTCTGAGGATTCCATGACGATTGTCAGATGGAAACTATAACGTGGATACACCTCCATGATAAATGTATTTACTTCGACAATTGAACTGAAATTCTCAGTTTAGATTCTTGTTGTTGATAATAATTTAAATGGCAATACATGTTTACAATTTACACCGTAATCAAAGAGAGAGCTAGTCATCCGTGTCTGGGTCAATATTCTTGTAGATAAATACAGCACCCCGTTAGCCGAAGACGCACAACCGTGACGACGTATCAACTAAACAGCAACGCCATTAGTGTACAATATCAAATATCCTATTTATCTACCGCAAGTGTAATTAAGACGCACGTTTATTAACGTACTGCAGTTAGGTCGTTAAGTCAACAGCAAAATAATTCACCTACGCACATTCTTCCGGGATCAACCATTTCAACAGGCGTATAATTGGGAGTGCGATAAACCTCCCATTTCGCCCTCTAGACATTAGCCAGTTGTTCTAAGTCTGCCCACACACTGTCTTTACGTTTATTTGCTGTTCAATTGAGATAAAGACGAGCAATAAAATGGTGGATGTGAACCCTTTATCCTCCCACCGAGTACATAACAATGGACTGAGGTAATCGTACAATTTTTGAGAACCAGTCATAAGAACATAGAGGCTATAAACAAATGTTTCAATGAAACTGGATCATAAGGACGTAGGAACTTGTTTTCTAAGTCATTTGGGTTCTTAAAAGGAAGCTTATTGGACCTTTACCGAACATTTGGAGGTGATGTGGAACAGGAAAACGATATGTTAAAGCCGGAGGCAAACAAGAATACAATAGAAGAAATAAACAGTGTTGTAAATAAAGCAAAACGTTTTACTTAACTAACGTTACCGCAAATTATCTACACAAAAGAAGTAAATTAGATTAAATTGGACCCCTTCACCATTTAGATACATAGCGACTAATGCTTTCATTTTAATTTCTGTAACTGTAAATCTAATTGACGATTCGCAGAATTCGTTAGGCAATTCTAATAGGTTTTATTCTAGACCAAAAAATTTCTGCAATCATCTATTTGGTAATGTGAATTCAATCATTATTTAAAATAAAAATTTGAAATATGTTCATAAGCTAAGCTGCAAATTCTCTTTCCACTTTATTGTATTTATGTTTTTAGTATTCTATGGATAGTATTTTAAAAAAATGAAAAGATTGATGACTAATGAAGCGAAAGAGGTAAGTAGGAATCGTAGTAATTGGCGTTCCATAGTCAGAGACTATAGGTAGGCAGAAGCACCACCCATGGGAGACAGGCGTGAAGTTATGTATATATGTAGTATTAATTGCACCAAGGAAGTTAATTAACATCGCAACGTTTTACCGGTAACACCAACATCCGATTGAACGGGACCAACTATTTATATACCGAAAACGTATCTCTTTGATCACGTTTATATCTTTAAACGACGGTGTAAATACTTTTACTAACTTCCTAAACCGTTTAAAACACCAACAAAGCGGGTATCAAAAATGGCGGCGCGTCGACCGTCGAATTCAAAACCCGTGAATGAATCAACAACAGTTATTTAATTGCCAATATAAATTTGTCACCAACCATTTCGCGGTGTTTTTGGCGAAAATAAACTTCAAATTGAAATAAAACCGACATTTCTTGGTAAAGAAATTCCGTTGTGAACAGGAAAAGGAGAATTTAATGCTGATTACGACTTTCTTATTAATCGCTGTTAGTGTAAATCGGCGTAATAAAGTTTAATATCATGTTAGTGACAAGACATTAAATGAACAAGTACTTACCTAACAGTTATATTGGTTGTGCAAAGAGTTATTGATCAAATTAGAAATATAAGTAACAGCCACTAAGAACTTATGATAGCAGGAGTTGTTCATTGTAAACCAAAGATAACTAGACCATTTATCAACTTGAAAAGACCAATCAGCTAATTAATCAACACAGATAAACAATTAACCCAACAACAAACTAAAAACAGCATAGACCATATCTGTCATTGGACAAACAAAAGTAAAATGTTCGTAATGAAAAAACATAACTCACCATGGTGTTATCAAGGGGCCGCCGTCAACCTCATCTGGAACCAAAAACAAACATGATTTCAAATTAAGGGATAATGAAGTGTCGGCCTTTTGGAGTTCTTCGGGATAGGAGTCAAAGCTGTTTAGATTGAAGTGTAGAAGTCTACAAGATGATAGGTGAATGAACGTGGTCAACAAATGGTTAATAACCATTAGTAGATGATGTTTTAAAGGCATCAAGCTTGCAATGAACGACACTTAAGTCCTATAGGTAGGTAGAATAGGAAATGATATTACCGAATGTTGGCTGAACTTATAAAGCTTGTGTTTTTTCCCAATTTCGCTTCTTAAACTCCCAAATATCATCAATGAATTGTTTTGATGTGTTTAAGGTATCCAGAAGCATTGATAAGAATTTATATTAAAAATGGTTTGTTTATATTCTCCATAGAAAGAACCCTAAGCATAAGCAGTACATATCACAGATGACTCTATTTTTTTTACAGCAGCGTGTCCACAGTTCACCGCCTTGCTACCGCACCGTAACGATATAACTAGCTGTGTGCTTCCATCTTGATGCCGGTCATCATCACTCGACTAACTAGTTTGCACTGGATACAGAAACACTCCTCTATAATTGAAAATCATAAGAGTAAAGGTGCACGATAAATCTTCAGGCAAGACTTTTATTTACAAACAAAAAGACACGAGACTCGGTCAACGAAGCATTTAAAAACGTCAACAAGATCAAAATAATATTCCATCATAATAAAAATATTTAGTCCGTAAAAACGCCGCAAGACGCACAAGTCGCAGGTAACAATTATAGGCAACCACACTACCGATAACTATAATCATAGGAACGTTCGAATTAATGAAACTCCGGGCTAAATCGTTGCAACGGTCATAAAACATAGTCGTAAAATAATATACAGAAATGCCATCACCGACGGTTCTCACGCTGTACAGATATAAAACCCATATTATGTATGAGCAATTAAGAGGTACATAATATAAAAATGATTGCCAGACAACACGATCCTTTTATAGACGAACACGTCGATGTGATGCTAGTGCCAAAAAAAATTATAAAAAAATAAGCGATCATTGATCTGCAGCATCACTAATCGGTAATGTATACATGCACGCGTTCAATTTATTATCACGTCCGAACTAAGAACGTCAAATATATGCGATGTGATAATGATTACAAAAAAAAAGCCGTCAAGACTGAGTCGTCAGGCTTGCGCATTGAGAATATTGAGATTGCTGTATGCAAAGAAACAATAATGTTCTTTAAGAAGTATCTTTTGAATTAAACCTTCACAATCAACATTCCTCTGACTATAATTATCATTTCATTAAGTAAACACGTTTGACTACCAAGTCATAAATACCACCAAAAACACGAGTCAACGCATGAAAACTACACAGAACCCCAAAACATTGATATATATGTCGCTGCTAATATGAATACATTACGTCAATAAATTCTAATTTATTACACAAACAGTCAAACGGCCTGCATCTGCATTTCATGCTCAGATCAAACGGATTTTGATGGTGATTTCATACATCATCGGAATTAAGAACCTTGTCAAAAGGAGCTATAACTCAAATTTGTGTAGCAACGCATATTATTAAACATTATTAATGAATTATCACTTGTTAGCGTTAAAGAAATATCATTCATCATATTATATTTATGTATCTGTTTAACTAATATCAATAATATAGTAAACATTCTTACTTAACTGCCTCGTTGGCCGAGTGGTCGCAAGTGCGGCTGCCGGGCAAGGGGTCTCGGGTACTATAACGTAAGCAGTAATAAGATTACTGGGTTTTTAAAAAAATCTCAGTAGTAGCACGGAGTCTGGAATTGTGCCCGGTATATGGCAATAGGCTCACCTTACATGGGACTCATAACATAAATAGTGAAAAGTGGGTGTTACTTCTGTGTGCACCTCTATTATTCTTAATTCTTATATATGGGGACTTTCGAAAAGCTCAATGCGTTAAATATGTCTTTTAACCTCTTGTATGTCGGAACGCTGATCTACGCGACACAATCTATTTTCTATTGTGTCTCTTATATCAACAGATAACAGATTAACATTATAAACGCCATGTTTCATAAACGTCATCGACGGATTCGCGGAAATAATAAAAAGTATATCTCAAAGGACAAAATTATCCATGCAAGTTAGTAACTGATTAGTCAGCCATGACCACATGTCACCCATAGCACCATGCATTTGCATATGTGAGCAGAAACAATAAAATTCCATTTAATAGCCGTTACAGAAAAACCCGAGATCACAGGAGACGCCTGTCTTGATTCATATACAGACTATATAAATGTGTCATACTTTACCACGTTTAAAAATAATATAATTATTGGTATCAATTAGTATCAGACAAGTGTTGGAATGAGTCATATATTTGCGCACTAGTGTCCAAAAGTCAAGCCAATGGGCTGCATATTAATGCTTCGCGGAAAACTGTTTAACGAACTTACGTGGACTAAGATGTTTTTGGTACCTATTGAGGAAAAACATTTTTAAAAAACAACTCGTTTTGGCAATATTGTGAAATTAGCGAGCCGCCCCGGCTTCGCACGGGTGCAATATGCATGTATTATCCTTACTAATATTATAAATCGGAAAGTGAGTTTGGTTGTTTGTTCCACTTTCACGCTGTAACTACTAAACCGATTGCTTTGAAATTTGGAGACGTAAAGTTAGAAGTCTGGATTAAATAATATGATACTTTTTATCCCGGAAAAACTTGATATTCTCGAGGGAAAACAAAATTATTGGTATAGATGGCGCTGTGTGTATTGGTATATGTCACATAGGCTACTTTTTATCCTTTTGTGACGCGAGCGAAGCCGCGGGTAAAAGCTAGTACCTACATATAAACCATCCTAAAGAATAACTCTATCTAATAAAAAATCTGCATCAAAATACGTTGCGTAGTTTTAAAGATCTAAGTATGCATATGGACAGAAAGACGGCGGATAGCGACTTTGTTTTATACTATGTAGTGATTAGATGATTATCTTCCGTGACAGTTCATACATTTTTAATAGTGTCAAGCAAATATAATCAATACGGAATTTTTAATTAAGTCCTCTCACAATCGACCCAGCAGCATTAGCTTGTAAATTCCTCCCACTTACGGACTCACGAACTAGACGGCTTGAGTCAGCAACGGCATTTCCAAACGGCTTCTAACTGGCTTCTCAAGTAACTGTGCAAATAGAGCAATTACTGAACTAGTCGATCCCAATGTCGATTGGACAAAAAACTAATTTTCTAAGACCACCAATTACTGATACATTAGTCTCTTTCCTAGATAGAAAGAAAATAGTGAATGTGAATGAAGTGGAACGGAAGCGAGAGGTCACGGCCGTTCGAGAGCAAGCTTGTTCCCTGCTTGTTTAATTAATTTATCAGGAAAGAGTCGACGAAATGTTCGAGGTATTTCTTCCTGCTCTGTAGTACAACGGCATTTAATAACAGCTGAGAGTGTATTTTTTATTGCGAAGCCGGAATTCGAAATGTTTATTGTTTTACATGGAGATTATTGTTGGTGATATTTATTGGTATAAAGTCTTCGAACCTCTCGAAGGGTAAATGAACTATTATGCCAGTTGTAGTTATGAACCTAGTCATTATTATCTAGATTTCTTTCTCACAGCATCTGTCAGCTGCTTTCCTAAGGTCAGTCTGGTCAACGAACTAAAAAGTGTAATTACTAGTATGTAATTAAAAACCAATTGGTAAACGGTGCTCATACGTCAAGCAATCAAGATCATAATTCGTGACACGATGCCTTCTAATTAAATTTCGGCCGTCTTCGGTCGTCGGCATAGTTTTGGTAAACCGATTTGAACCTATGACCCTCGCTTCCGCAGCCAAGCTTGGGGGTAGATACTACTTGGCTATGCTGTGTGCCGACCTATGAACCCTGAGTCAAGTAATACAAAGCAGTACGGATGCCAGAGAGTCCCAGTTCGCAGAAAGGATGTAGGCATGAACCGTCAAAGTCGTTATGATTCATTTGCAAACGAACAGTTGGTGTGCATTCATGAATGATGATGTGATCTTAGATTTTTTTAAATAGACTTCTGTCAACTGTATCCGAGTAGATTCCTTATCGCAGGAAACGATTTTGCAAATTGAGTCAAAAATGCAAAATGTTAGGGTCAAGTATAATTTAGAAGTCTGGGCATTTTATCTTAATTAGTTACAAAAAAGTATGTTCGTAACCAACTTAGGGATTACACTCTTAAAATAAAAAACCATGGACTGCGAATTTGTGCTACACCAACGACATCATGGAACCTTCTAGAATTCGCTAAACGAGGACCACGACAAAAAAAATAATCCGATTTTGAAAAATGCGGAAGCCATAACATTTGCAAATTGTAAAACAAACAATATTAAAAGGACGAACAAAGAAAACCCCTAAAAAGGCCTCGCTCACCATGCCCATTAACTATATTTAGAGATACGGGCGAGTACGAAGCACCATAAAATTTTGATTGCCGCGTAGGTCTCGAGACGACCTTGACTTGAGTACTTGTAGTGGCCGAGTGATTCACACGCCCACACTCCTCATAGTTTGGGAGTTATCAACCAGTTCGTCACCGAATATGCAGAACCAAGCGTTTGATACTGTACGTGTTAGAATTTCGATATTCCACCAAAACGCTGTGCATTCAATGTAAATTAAGCTGAGCGTATTTACGGTGATTTTCTTGATCAAGGACAGGTGTTAAAATTGTTTATATCAGTAATACATTAGTGTAATTCTAGAAGAATAAGCAGAGATGCACAGCAAATGTAAATAATAGTGAGTGGATCACTGCCAAAGATCAGATCATTAAAATCCATTTTCTAAGCTATAAGCTGAAGGCTTCAAAGAAAGCCGGTGGCTAAATCAATGATATATCCAAGAGCTGACCACTACCGCATTTATAGGCAAACACAATTACTAAACATTCCTGATTGTTACTCGATAACAAGATACAAATACAAGACGTTATATA